ATTCATGGTAGATCCAGAATAGAATCCCCATGGATATGAAGGACCAACTTTATTTACAATTGGATGAAGAAAATCTCCCAAAACCTTCCTTTTACTGGGTCAGACCATTCATCCATCTAGCTTAGTACATTGACTGGCAGAAGCTCGGGAGGATTTGAGTCTGCCCTAAATACCACAGAGTAAACCTGGGACTTTCTACCCAGAGGAGATGCCCTACGGTTAAGCTACAGCCCTTGCACAATCGCCTCTCACTATCTTTGTTATTGTTGTGTGGTTTCAGGTTGTTTCCAGCTTATGGCCACTTTAAAGCAACCCTATCATGGGGTTTTCTGTGGGTTTCTATGGCCAAGTGGGCAACTGAACCCCGATCACCAGAATTGTAGTCCAGTGCTCAAACCACTACATCACACTGGCTATGGTGAAATACCATAGTAACAATTTAAATAGATTGCAATTTCCTACCCTTTCATGACACCCAAACTCTGCTGCCTGAGGGCACTGCCTCACTCTGCCCAATTGCCCACTAAAAATAGAGCCAAGGCAATGAATTTCCCAAACTGATTTGACCTTACTAGCCACTGCTAAGGAGCAACTCAAAATTTGAGTTATATTGCTGAAGTCCAGCCTGCCTTCATCTGGTGCCTGCCAGATGTTTTGGACTACAGTTTCTCAATTCATAGTCCATGGGAACTGTAATCCAGCACATCTGGGACATCTGGTAGGCAAACCCTCTTCTTTTTCTTCTTCTTCTATGAAGAATATAAAACTGGAATATTTGCTCAGTATTTTATCCAATCTGTTTTTATCCTATCATTTCTCCAAAGAGTTCAGAACATGGAAGACATTCTCCTTCAACATTGTTAGGGAAGGCAAATAGCAATCCCTTCCCAGATCTGCCATCTCTCCTTCAGAAGAAAGAATAGGATGAGTTGGGGCAGGGGAGTGAAAGAAGAGGCAGGGAGAAAATCCAGTTTTGCTCTGTCTACTTTGTAAGGCTGCTGTTGTGTCTGTATATCACCATGAAGCTAGGGAAGTATTAAAATCTAGACAATTGTAGATTTCATTCACATAATTAATTGCAGAGTGGACCAATTATTCATCAGGCTTCTTTAGGTTCAATACTAACCCAAGCTGTGGTCAACTATGGAATCTTGGAATTTGGAATAATAGTTCCTAACATTGTCAGGTCAGGAGCATTCCCGGCCTTGAGATTTCAGGGCAAAAACTTGAGACTTAGATACAACTTGTTGTGATGTCACAGGTGAATGATCCTGATTGATATCATTAAGTAAAATACCCTATGCATTAGTCACAGTTGTACAGAATATACTATGGAAATAAAAAATCACCAAGACTAACAAATAGGAAAAAATATTTATCTACAGACTTTTCAAAGGCAGTACTCTCATCACGAGATTCCTCACTCTTGCCCTAAGGACTAGAGGACAGAGTTCAAGTCCTGAGGCTGAAGGGTAGGCCCTGATATAGTTCCAGGCATGTATTAATAATGCAACTGGAATTTCACTGGACATACGGATGAGCTAGAGCAGTGATGGCGGACCTTTTAGGCACCAAGTGCCAAAACTAAACAGCCTTCCAGCACTGGGTGTTACCCCGTGCCAGAGGCAGGACTTGTGGGGGGAACAGGACTTCCGGGGTTGGACTTCCACCTTTTGGGGGCAGGACTTCTGGGGCGTGACATTCTCCCCCACACCTTCCCGGGCCTTCAGCTGCCTCTGGCAGCTACCTCTCTGGAGGCAGGTGAAGGCCTGGGATAGCCAGGAGGCGTGCCAGGGGAAATAACTTTGTGTGCCATCTCTGGCACGTGTGCCATAGGTTCGTCAACACAGAGCTATAGTTTAATGCTAGAATATATGCAAAAAGGTTCATATTCAACCCCAGCAACTCCTGGTAGTGCTAGGAAACATGTCTGCCTCACACCTGCAAAACTTCTGCCAATCACTGTATACCCTCCAACATTTCACGTGAAAACAGGACACATGTCACCACGCAACATCAAAATATGGTCAAGATTGCAGAAGCTATTAATGAGGAAGACTATGCAAGCTGGGGAGGCTGCAACAGTTTGCTTTTGCCCATGCCTACTGGAAAGGGCAAGATTCCATTCCTTACTCACTTCTCCCCTCCCTGCTGAGTTAACTGAGTGCAAACTCTTTTTGCACGTTAAAAGCAGTTTATCATAGTTGAAGTAAGCTGGGGACAAAGGGGGAAAGTGGGAGGAAAGAGAACCTGGGACATTTTAGTAGTAGCTGAAAAGGTGGGATGAGAGAGGATTCATTGAGACAGTCCCTGGCAAACTGGAACAGTTGGAGGGTATGTGGTAGTGCTAGGAAATACCCTTGCCTGAAACCCTGAAAAACTGCTACTCAGTGTAGAAAACGATGGGAATTAGCAGCCTCTTCACACTGTTGCCTCGTCCCTTTCCCTTTTCCAATACCAAGAAAGGGGAAAGGGGGTCTCTCTAATGAGGGATACCAGCAGATTTGTCTATCCCCACCCTGAAAGAGCATCCAAATATCTCAACTTGAGGTTGTTGGGGCCCGTGGAGTGAAAAACAGTTCATAATACTGAGCCAGATAGGCCTGTGAATTGACCTGACATAAGGCATCTTTCTCTGAGTATCAAGCTGGTCCTAGGTGGAACGGCTTTTTTGCCTTCTCTGCAACTGACAGAGAGTCAATTCAGAGGACCAGCTGGGGTCACAGAGAAGACGTGATGGCAATAGTACAGATGCCTGAGAGTCTACTCACAATGAAGTGAGATTCTACATGGATGTCTGAATTATTTCTAGTTTGGAAACCTGCATTATTATGATTATTATTATTTTAAAAAACCCACAACAATAATTCTTAGGCTTAAGAGCTGCTCCTGACCATCCCTGTTTAAAGCTTTCCTTTGATTTGGTGTGACATGTCATTATGTCCTCTCTCACTGTCTTCCCTATTTAGGAAGTTCAACCTTTTCCAAAGGCGAGTGAAAGGGGCACTGTGTTCACAGGACGACTAGGATGGGCTGTGCCACATCCAGCACAAAATGTACAAGACCGGCTTTCTTTGGGAGGCATGTTTTACTTGGCAAGGCTGTTAATACCTACCTGTACATAATCCACGCTTCTCCCCAGTGCTTTGAATGCTGTGTACATTACTTCTCTTTTCCCGCCCCATTTTTGCATGATGCAGACACTTTTGTTGGACAGGACCATTTGAGTGACGTGTTGCATGCTCTCTTTATGGGACTCTTCAGTCTCGCCAGGGCCTCTCTGATGAAAATTATTCCTCCAGACGTACGTCGCAGATCTATCCCTGCCCATGATCTCACTAAAAATGTCCATCATGTAAACATCATCTTCCGAATTCCCATCGATTACCATAATCACCTTAATTCCGGGGTAGGTGAGCCTCTTCACGGAAAGTAAACATTTCCTTAAGTAGTCAGGATCCTCTTGGTAGGCAGCAATGCAAAGGGCAACAGTTTTATTCAGCTTGATTGGGGTCTCAAGAGATCGCTTCATTTTCCTGTGTTCGAGAAAGGCAAAGAGGCTTTGGATGATGAGGTGTGATGCCAGAATAGCACCATAGAGTCCAAAGGAGAAATAATAGTTGTCTGTTTGGATAAACTGGTAGCCCACAATGTAAGCAGCTGAGATTCCAAGGAGGAGGGATACCCCAAACAGTGTGGTTCCAAGTATTCTCAAGATACATATAAACCTCTCGCAATGCATCTGCAACAGATCAAGAAAGATCATTGTCAATTTACACACCACTTCTTGGGAGAGGGATAATCTGGGCAGTGTAAGGAAGGGTTGGGCAACTTGCAGCCCATTGGGTAGTATTGGCCTGCAACAGCCATTATTGCTCCTCACTGATGATGCTGTCTAGGGCCAATGGGAGTTGCTATCCAGAAATATCTGTAAGACCATAAGTTGCCCCCCCTCCAGTTTAAAGAGAACAGGCTCATAGGTGTAAAGGCTGATAATTGCAAACTGTACCTTCCAAATTATGATCAAGGAAGGAGAAAGAATATGTGGCTGAAAAAAAGTGAGAAGTCTATTTTTTTGTGTGCTTTCAAGGTATTTCTGACTTTTGGCAACCTTAAGGCAAACCGACCATGCACTTTCATGCCAGAATTGTCCTCCAGCTGAATGTCTGGAAGCATATTGTGTTTGTGAAACAGACAACAAACAAGGTATCTAAATCTTCAGAGCTTGCACTATTACACCATGCTAACTCCACACATAGTATTCTTTAATTACTAAGTGGGGAGTCAGCATGGTGTAGTGGCTTGAGCACTGGACTATGACTCTGCAGACCAGGTTTCAAATCCCTGCTCAGCCATGGAAACTCACTAGGTGAGCCTGGGCAAATCACACTCTCTCAACCTCAGAGGAAGGCAAAGTCAGACTCATAATGACTCTGTTCCAGGGCTTTCTTTGCAACAATTCTTCAGAGGATATTTGTTCTCTGTGGCTGCATCTGCACTGCAAAAATAATCCAGTTTCACATAACTTTAAGTGCCATTTCTTTATGCTATGGAATTCTGAGAACTGTAGTTGTGGCACCAGAACTCTATGACAGAGGAGGCTAAATGTCTCACAAAACCACAATTCCCAGCATTCCATAGCATTGAGCCAAAGTGGTGTCAAACTGGATTATTTCTGCAGTGCGGATGAAGCTTAGGTGAGAGAGTATGACTTACCCAAGGTCACCCAGTGGTTTTCCATGGCCGAACGGGGATTTGAACCCTGGTCTCCCAAAGTCCTAGTCCAACACTCAAAGTACTACATCATGCTGGCTGGGAAGTCTTTGAGAAGTCAAAAATTCTGACATGAGGAATCTGAGGATGCAGAATATCGCTGCAAACATTCATTTGCTGTCTGTTATCGATGGCTGGCAAAATCATATGAAATGTCAACACCTATTTCCCTTGGTTATTAGCAACAGACCAAATTAATCATGTCTTGAGCTAGAAAAAGCTAGTTCCGTCATGAAGGGAGATAACCCAAAAGACGCTCCTAAGAGAAGAGACCATTCTATCTTGAAACATGTTAGGATTTGTCAATGTACTTAATTCTGCACTTACTAGTTACTCCTGTTTGATACCCTCTGCTGAATAAATGCTACCTTCCTGCTGTTCTACATACCAAACAATAATTGCCAGATCTATTGTCACTCAGGGAAGGACTCTGTGGTGAGATGGAGAGTTACTACATGTTGGGCAGTGCAGGGATGTAGCTATGGTCAAGACAGAGGGTAGGATTTGGTGTATTACTTCCCAATAAGAATCTGCCTTCCAGTGAAATTCTTCTTCAGTGGTTTGAGTGTTGGACTATGACTCTGGAGACCAGGGTTCGAATCCTCACTCAGTCATGTAAACCCACTGGTGACCTTGGGCAAATCCTACTCTCTCAGCCTCAGAGGAAGGCAAATGGCAAACCCTCTCTGAAGAGACTTGCCGATAGGTTCAACTTAATGTCACCATGAGTCAGAAATGACTTGAAGGCAGACAACAACAGCAGCAATAACAAATTTATAGCATTGCAATCAATTAAAATGTCAGCTCTACATTTAAAAATACTGCCTAGGTATCCAGAGAAAAAGGGCAGGAGAAGTTACCAAGTTACACTCTCTTAGCCTTAGAGGAAGGCAAGGGCAAACCCCATGTGGGCATATTCTGGTAAGAAAACCCTGTGATAGATTTGGCTTAGGTCGCCATAAATCAGAAATTATATTAAGGCAAACAACAACGTAGCTACACCTCTGTACAAATCTGTATGCGTACATATAATGGGACCATTACAAGCTCAGGTCCCAGTTATACGTATCTAAAATGCTTTACAGTTCTCAGGAGAAAAGGCACTGTCCCTCATGCTAGATTTTCCAACTGATCAGACCTGTGCTGCATTGTTTTCTTGGGTCAGCATAGCCTGAGTCATGTAGTGTGCAGTTACTGGACAATTGAAAGCAGTTACCAAGAAGACTCCAGTCCAGAAGACTAAATGTGTCAATGCTGTTTGATTTCTTTGGGACAGTTATATGTTAAAAATCCATCTGAAAAGCACATTTCGCATCTCACAAACCAAAATCTAAAATTTGGGGGGGGGGGGAGAGGATGACAATGCTTCAGTCCATTGTTATGGCACTGCCTGTTCTTGCAGTCTGTGTTGTGACCTGCTCTGCCCCTCAAACATCTCTGCATAATAATGATCCTACTAAAGATAATCTGGAGCCAGGATTTAGAGCCCTGAAAACCTCAACCCTATTGCTTCACTCTCTGTTAGGAGCTTTCAGATTTTGAATGTGTAACCATAGCTTGAAAGTAACTAGTGACAGGTTATGCAGTTACCTGTTATGCCTTGAATCCTATTGGTTACATCTGATGGCATAGCCCCTGGTTACACTGGTAGTTTTGCAAGCAGAGGTATCTAGTACCTTCTTCTCCAAAGCCTGTTGCTCCAGGTGTGTAACAGCAGCAGGGAGACTCCCAGATGCAATATCATCTCCTGGCCACCGACCAGTTTTACAGGCCCACCAGAGTCATTCAGGTGCACTTGGCCACAGAGAGGGAAGTCAGAAAACTTTATATTGAGGGCACAGATTGCTTCGTCTCCCAGTGCTCAAGGCCCACCAGGATGTACCCTTTCACAATCAAACAGCAACTGGGAGGGACATAGCTGTGGTCAGAAAGCCACTCACCACAACTGTTACACACTTGAGGAGGAAACGAAACATTGACATCTAGGAGAAGGTCTCCACTGAACAAACTGGGTGGAGAAGTAATATTTGCAACTATCCACTTTCATACCCTCCAATATTTTACAAATGAAAACTGGGACACATATGGCCAAGCCACATCAGAGATGGCAAAAGTTATTAATAAGGAAAAACACATAACCTAGGAGAGGCTGCAGCAGTTTCCTTTTGCCTCAGTCTACAACAGGGGTCGGCAACCTACGGTTGGGGGGGCGAATCTGGCCCCCTGAGGCCTTTGGAGCAGCCCCAGGCCGGTCCTGCCGCCGCTGCCACTGACCTACGATGATGATGCCCCCGCTGCCAGTGCGTTGCGGCTGCCATTTTGTTTTCCAAAATGGCAGCCGTGACTCGTTTGCACATGCGCAGTACTCCAGCACATGCGCAAATGAGTCGCGGCCACCATTTTGTTTTCCAAAATAGCGGCCGTGACTCGCTCATGTATGTGCAGTACACCGGATGTACTGTGCATACATGAGTGAGCGTATGTGCACATGTGCAGTACTTCCGCCATACTGCGCATGTGCACAAGAGAATGCACAGGGCGCCATTTCCCCCCCTCGGCCCGCGAAAGACCTGCAGACCAGCGGACCAGCCCCAGGTAAGAATAAGTTGCCAACCTCTGGTCTACAGGGAAGGTCAAGCTCCTGTTTTCTCCTCCTCCTCTCTGCTGAGTGCAAACCACGTTGACACTTTGAACTCAGTTTGCAGCAACTAAGGTAAGGTGAGGATGGAGAAGGAAAGTGGAAAGTGAAACAGGTACATTTTAAAAGTTGCTGAAAAAGTGGGATGGCAGAGGATTAATCAGGACTGTCCCTCCCAAATTTGGACAGTTGGACAGTTTGATACACTTTTATAGATATGGATCAGTAGTTGTCTACATTTTTGGACCATCCTGGAGCTATGAGGACAGTTAAGATTAGTGCCTTTACATCAAAACTTACCACTATACTCTTGTTATTGGTTAGTTATTTATGTAAAGAAGAAAGGCTTCCATAAGATATACACTGAGACAGTGTAGTTACTGTATTGTGTGGAGTCCCAAAATGATATCATAATGATAAAATACAGTTTTTCAGCCTTAGCTTTCCTTTTTCCAGTCCATAATATAGATAAAATAACATTGGTTCACCTCATGTGGAAAGATTAATCTTATGTGGAAAGATTAATGAAATGATATATGTAATATAATTTGAAAAAATTGAGAAGCACCAGGTGGATGTTACATCAGATCCTAGCAAAGCTACATTTGCAAAGAAAATCCATGTGTGTATATATATATATATATATATACACACATATACCAAAAGTGACCCCATATTGTTCAAATAGTATGACCAGAAATCCTCTTTTTCTTCTTCTGCACAGCCATCTCCAGCATCAAGCCTGAACTTGCTGGAGAAAGTCTGACATGCAAAGCAACTTCATCAGTCATGTTATTCCATGTTGCTTATGTTATTCTTAGAAAGTCTTTTGTTTTTTTAAAGGGCAGACTATATATATAGTCTGAGGCCTTGCAGAACTTGGCAACTTATGGCCTTCTTAGCTTGTCTGTCTCTGGAGTCTCCATAATGCTAAACTCCACATTATTCATGATCTAACAAAAATGCAAGATCTAACAAGTGAATGAGATAGGCCACCACACAGTAATGAACACTGTGTACATGTGTGTGTGTATACATTCAAAAGTCTGAGGAAAAATATATCATTGTAGAATAGACACTATACTGCAGATTTAGTTGAAATAATACAGTGATACATTTTACGATAAGCTAAGCATGGGACTTGTGCACATTAGCTGAAACAAACAATTGCATAGACTTAAATATATTTCTGAATAAAAATCATTGATGGTCACAGCCATGCTGAAGATACTTTACTACCTGAAGCAGAACAGCTAATATTTTCCCCAACACAACTGCAAAGGAGCATAGTCACCAGTGGATGCTTCATGTTTTAGCCTCCAGTGGTGAATCTGGTCTTTTAAGGTACACAACCAATTGAGGTGGGTCTCTGCCCTATGGACACCTTCTTCAAGTTCTCAATAAAACCTGGAACAGATTCACTGCCCCACTGACACAGAAGTCATCAGTCACCACTAGGCCTAGAACCCAAGCTTGGCCAAGTTTAATTTGACACCTGAGGCAGAAAATCTACCAATATATAAACCATAGGTGTGAAAGGACAATCCTAAATAGATTAACAATAGAACGGACTTTCATAGCAGCCATCCAGCAGCCACCTTACTTTGCCTAACTGAGTTCAAAGTGTAAAAGTAGACTGTATAAGAAAGACCAGGAGCATGGAAGTTGCCCATCAACCATTATCACCCAGACAGTAAACTGAGGCTGCATCCACTCTGCAGAAATAATCCAATTTGACACCACTTTAACGGCCACAGCTCAATGTTATAGAATTCTGGGATTTGTAATTTCGTGAGCTATTTAGCCTTCCTTGTCAGAGAGCTCTGGTGCCACAACAAACTACAGATCCCAGGATTCCATAGGATGGAGCCAGTGTCAACCTGCATTAATTTTGCACTGTGGTAGCTCCTGTATTTTGCCCTCAGTTAAGGAGATCATTGCATC